TTTGGGATTAGATATTTTGAAGGCTGCCTGAGCTAGAACCAAACACTCTCATTGTAGGTCACATTAGTCAAGCCTGGGTTTTAAGTCACATTATTTGTTATTAAGTTCCATATCAATATTGATGTTGAACCATCTAAAGAAATCATAAGCATTATTTTAATATATGAGAAAGAGTTTTAAAGTTAATATGTGCGGTGGTTTGTCTAGGAATGGCCCCCACAGACTTGTATGTTTGGGTACTTGGCCCATAAGGAGCGGCACTATTATGAGGTGTGGCCTTGTTGCATGAAGTATGTCACTGTAGAGATGGACTTTGAGGTCTCATATGCACACAGTGTGGCACATAGTTGCTTCTGCTGCCTGAGGATCAAGATGTAGAGCTCTCAGCTCCTCTCCAGCACCATGCCTGCCTGCAGGCTGCCATGTCCTGCCATGACAATCATGAACTAAACTCCTAAACTGAAAGCAGGCCCCAATTAAATGTTTTCCTTTGTAAGAGTTGCGGCGAAGCCAAATAGTGGTGGTGCATGCCTTTAATCCCAGCACTTGGGATACAGAGGCAGGCGGATCTCTGTGAGTTCCAGGTCACCCTGGTCTACAGAGAAAGTTCCAGGACAGCCTCCAAAAGCTACACAGGGAAACAAAAAACAATCAAAAAAGAGTTGCCATGGTCATGGTATTCCTTCACAGCAACAGAAACCATAACTAAGGCAATATCCAAAAGGAAAGTGTAAGAGGAGGCAAGAAGTCACAGAGAGCTGGAATAATCAGTTGTAGTGAGTGGCTTCGGTTCCCATGACTGCAGTGCAGCGGGCACAGAGACTGTGATGGCAGCAAGCGCTTTCCTTTAAGGGGACCCCTGCTCTAAACTGCAGTGCATTGTCATAGTCAGATTCTGCGGCTCGGTCTTCGTGGATTTGCAATCTACAGCAGACTTTCCACTCTCCAATTCAGCGTTTTACCCACAGACCACTGTTCCTCCCATTCCTTCTAACCACCATTTGTTGCTATTCTATTTTACTTGACAGAGTATAAGAAGAAGTTTGTAAAAACAGAAAATCCTCATATAATTTTTTTTTCTGTACCAACTCTGCTAGAAGTGAATGAAAAAGTGTCCTATGAAAGTCATATACCACATTCAGAACAGCATGACCACAACCCCACCACAGCTTTCCCTGGTCCTGTTTCCTTCTACCTAGTAACTGACTAATCCTCTCTCCAGGATGACTCATTCTTGTAACGCCCTTTAGCAAAGGATTCTTACAGTGCAAAGCTTTATGCTATCTTATCCTCAGATAGTTTACCATTGATATTACATTAAAATTGAATTTCTGGTCTAATTAAAAAAATCATTAAAAGCTTTTATTTCCCTCACTGAAAGGGCAAGTCTATTATTGGCAACTAAGTAATTTCTCTTTGTAACAGCTCCCGTTAACTGCCTTTGCTTTAGGAACATGGTTATGTTACAGGCTAGGCTTGCCTTGAACTCAGAGCAACCCTCTTGTCTCAACCTCCTGAATGCTGGGATTATGGGCATGAGCCACCACACTTAGCTTTTGTTAACTGCACTGTTTGACACCCAAAATGGATTTGTATTATTCTCTCCAGAGCCCACACTAATCGCCAGCATTGAAAGTAGCTTCACCAGGAAATCATGTACATAGACAGGATGAATGACGTTTTTTATGGTAGATTTTCAAAGACCTTGTAAAATGAATTGGAATAACGTTCACTGTGTTATAAGTATTGCATACCATTTAAAATAGAAATCTCTTCTACTAAGGCATTCTAGAGAAAGAATGACAATGTAGAAGGTAAAATAGTATTTTATAGTATGATAAATTTCTCTTTACTAATCTTAAATGTTTCTATTTTGACTTTTAGAAGAAGATTTTATAATTTGCACAATATATGTATATTTTATAACGCAGCCACAGACCTTTGAACCTAACCCCACCTAAGAGATAAAACTGACCTTAAAATATTCAGGAGTTTAAAATGATACCAAAAGCCAAAAGTGGTTTACAGTGAAAAACACCCACTTGTAAGAAAGAGATGGAGGCTTGAAGAGCCTTACAAGGTATTAACCACAAATCTGCTACGTTTATCTCATCTCTTTCGGCAGACCATCTGCTGCCTCATCCCTTCTGGTATGTCAACAATTCAGAAGTCTCCTGGGACTGGAACTAAGAGCAGTAACTTCAGGGTCACTTTCCCCAGATCAGCCCTGTTTCAACCAGGACTTGTGCTTCAGCACTGGGAACAGGATGCAAATATAAGGAAAATATAAAAGCAGTGCAGCCACCCAGAGTCCCAAACAAACCCTTTCAAAGTGCTTAATTAAAGGACACATGAGAATCACCTCATGTTGCTGCTCCAGAGCACACGGGTGCTGGCTCCTTGAAGCCGACTTCCTTTCCAAGTGGGTTCCACTACCTTACCCATGTCTGCGGTGCCGCCAAAGAGCTGCTCTCGTAATCACAAATAGTTCAAGGGCTTTATTCCTTAATGGGAGCAAAAGCACCAGGCTGTCTCTTGTTCACTGTAACCAGCTCTAGACAATATCCGTGCTCGCCTCTCCCAGCTACCTCCCCTGCACAATCCTAGTCAATTTTTCAGATTTAAAAATCTCAGTTTAGCCTGGCGGTGGTGGCACACACCTCTAATTCCAGCACTCAGGAGGCAAAGGCAGGAGGATCTCTGTGAGTTCGAGGCCAGCCTGGTCTACAGAGTGAGTTCCAGGACAGTCAGAACTGTTAAACGGAGAAACCCTATCTCAAACCAACCAACCAACCACTCAAACAAAAAACAGTTTCAGTGTGTAGGGGTTGGGGTTAATATCACTGTTCTTCCAAAGAGATTTTCAAAATTACCTTCAGCCAGAAATTAACACTCACTCTCCATAACACCCTGCTGTTCTCTGGGTTTGCTTATTGCTTTTGACTGAGGACTGCATTTCTTTGGATTTAAACTTGATCACACAGCACACCAGAAGTGTGTTTAATTCAGCACCTGAACAATTCCCTGCAAAATAAACATATTCAGTGGTGGTGGCTGAATTCCCTATATAGTTCTTGTATTACTTTGTAGAGACCAGTCTTGTGGCGCCTGAACCAAACATCCTACGCTGTTGAAGAGAATCACCTTATGTATCCCACCTGCCTTTGCAATACCCTCTAAGATAAGGAGACAGAAATACAGGAGCTTGTCTGTTCCTTCTGCCCTCGGTTCTACACTGCCCTCTCCATCTGTTTACTAGGTGATGTCGGCTTGCTCTTCTGGGCTAGCAACTCTCTCAGGATAATATGCACTGTGTTCCCTGAACAGACGAGGCTGCTTTAGTTCAGTCTAGTATTGGGCACAAGGACATCAGACTACAGGGTGCAATGGCTCGAGTAGCCAAATACTGGCCTCAGTATCCTAAAGTCTTCAGTCAGACTTCTAACCCTAAATTTTGGTTCTTCTCCCCAGGGACTAAGGCACTTCTTTCTTAGGTAAACCTTCCCATCCTCTTAGAACTTCCTCAGTTTTATTTAAAGGAAAATGGGAAGGAGTCACAAGGAAGCTTGGGACCCGAATAATCTCTTTTTGTGTTAGTAATCAAAACACTTAGCACCATAACTAATGATCAGTTTAAAACTATAACTAATGATCAGCTTAAAACTCCAGGTTTTGCCGTTTAAATACCAGCTCTACCACTTTCTATTTGGAATCTGAAGGTCATTTATTTGCTTAGTTTCCTTATCTCCAAGCTTAGATTCCCCAGAAAACCCAGGTGGTGTAATCCTAGCACATTGGAAGCAGAGTCAGGAAGTTTGAGACCACATCTCAAAATAATAGTAAAAATAAGAAAGGAAGGAAGGAAAAGGACAAAACTAAAAAAAAAAAAAAAACCAAAAGCAAAACTAGTTCATTTAAAAAATATAAATGCAAACCACATAGTCTAATTAGGGACATTATAGGCACTCAGTTACATCGATTTACTTTTCAAGTATGCAAACATCAACTGCCTTAAACTTTAGACAAATTGAAAAAAGTACAGCCACCCAGATCCTTGTTTGATATCCACAGGATCTCTCTGATGAACCTCACTTTCATCAACTAATCTGTACGGGGCGGGGGGGGGGGAGTGGGGGTTTGGGGGGTAGGGAGTGGGAGAGAGAGAGAGAGAGAGAGAGAGAGAGAGAGAGAGAGAGAGAGAGAGAGAGAGAGAGAGAGAGAGAGAGAGAGAGAGAGAGAGAGAGAGAGAGAGAGAGAGAGAGAGAGAGAGAGAGAGAGAGAGAGAGAGAGAGAGAGAGAGAGAGAGAGAGAGAGAGAGAGAGAGAGAGAGAGAGAGAGAGTCCGGCCCCACATGTCTGTTGGTCTGTTGGTGCCCATGCTGGTGCGTGGGTGTGAGGTAGGAAGGTGCGGCTGTCTTCAGCCCGGCCAAAGTCTCCTTCCTCCTTCTTATCCTCCGCATGGTGTTGAGGTGGTTGCTCCCAAGCCCAAAGTCGACTTGCCCAATTTGGTCATATCCCAGACCAAACACTCGCTGCAGATACTAAGTGGAGCGCTACCAAGCACCTGGGCGAGGCAGCCCCACCTCATTTAGAGGATGTAGGAGCCGTGGGGCTTTCACGGTTTCTTTCTAAAAATATTTACGGAGAAGCATGAACTCTAAAACATCCAAATAAAAGCCAAAAGCACTATCTCACAGAACAATCACGCACACAGAAAGTCTACATAAATTTCCAAGGGCTTTTGGAACCCGAGGGCACGGAAACGGGAGTGGGCCCGGCGAAGGGTGAAACCGACTGAATTCACTAGCAGACAATTGCGAGGTTAACAAACGAGTAAGGTAGTCCTGAACCGAACCAGAGGTTGAGTAGTCGAGCGGCCAGCCAGGAGGCGCGGCGGGTCGGGAAAGAGAAGGTGAGCAACAGGTGGGCGAGCGGGCGAGCGGGCGGGGGACACGGGTCGCAGCGCCGGGAGCCGCGCGCCGCCGGTGGGGCTCGACTCACCGCTGGCCACGGAGCTCCTACCCCGGCGGGCCAGGGTCTGCTGCACCTGCTCCTGGATCCGCTGGCTCCGGGCCGCCTTGTCGCCGCGGCCGCTGCTGCCCGCCAGCCTCAGCCTGGCCTCGGAGGGCAGGGCCAGGCTGGAGCTATCCAGGTGTCCTAGGATCTGCTGGCCCAGCACGGTCCGGATGTAGCCACACTCGGCCAGTGAGCCCGGGACCGCCATCGCGTCGGCGAGGTGACCAGCGAGCGACTGCCAGGACCTGCCCGCAGAGCCACAGAGGCGTGGGGACCCGCCGCAAGTCCCGCCCCGCCCCGCCCAGCCGGGACCCAGGCCCGCAGGGGACAGGGGCGTGGCTCCCGCAAAGCAGACGCACTCAGCCCGGGGCGAGCACGTCCTCCGAGGCCCCACGTACACAGCGCTCTCGCCTCGCGAAGGATTGTGGGAGGAGCTGCCCTTAGGACAGGTGCAGCCGGGGACTTCGCTTTGTGAAGTGAGTAGCACATCTAGTTAATTAGGCTCAGCCACACTGTTCCAAATGTTCACTGACGATGAAAGGTGTGTGAAATAGAAGTCTTCAGAAAGTCTTGTTAAAATAATCCTTAGTGCAACTTCAGCACGATGGGCTTTTCACACAGATGGAGTCCCAGAAACATATGTTCTTCCTCAGTGAAAGCCTCTGCTTGCGCTTGCAAATACACAGATTGTACCCAGTGTGCTCTTGTCCACCCACTTCCTTCTTAAGGAACATGCCCACACAGAGAAACTCCAATAAGAGGCTCAGAGAAGAGATGACTTTTAATATGCCTTTTAATAGCCCTCCTAATGTTGAGTAAGGCCTCTTTATGACAAGCTCTTTGTAGGGGAACCCATGGAAGAGGCCTCTGACTTTAAATCTTCCACAACTTGAGTTTATCGTGCTATTAATTACGCTTCAAATGCAGTTGAGCAGTGAGAACCACATGCAACAGAAGGGTCCTTGACCTTAAAGTTAACAACCGACGCCACTCCGCATATACTGGTATTTAGACTTGGAGAAGAAAAGAAAACCATTTGTGTTTGGCACTGAGCGTGGACTTTCTTTGGTTGCTTGGGTTTGTACCTTTGTTGGAAAGCTAGAGAACACAGTCTCTCTCCTCCCCAGGTTCCTAACCGTACAATTAGTGTACAACTATGTGGCTTCCTGTTCTACCCAAGCGAAGAAGGAACGAGGGACTGGTCACTCTTTCTCAACAGGCCTCATGGGTGAAGGTCATACAGAAGGCACTGAGTAAGTGGGAGATATGAGACAGCAGGTCTTGGAAGTAACCGGGCCAGTCTTTAGGTAAATTACACCTGTAAAGCTCAGCTTGCCCAGCCAGGTGTAAATGTGCAGTCGTGATGCTGAGATTTTACCAAAAACTAAGAAGACAAGAATGAGCTTGAACATTACGAAGGTGAAGTTACAACAGCAAATCCCATTGCTGCTTCTTTTATAACCCACCCCTCTTCCTCTCCCGTCTCCTAGCGTCTTCTGGAATTCCCAGGTCTGTTGCTTTAAAACATGACTCTACTTCTACGAGGCCAGTGGGCCCATGGCTTGGCTTTTGTATCTGGAGAACTGTGACTTACAAGGTCTAAAGTTCTGCCTTTCTCAGTAGCGGACTGGCAAGTAATTTCTCTCACTCATCGTAGGAAGTGTAACTTCACTTTCCTTTTTCCTCCAATATCACTTTTTAAAAGTGCTATTGTAATTTTTCCAACCAAACTATGTACTTTCCAATAAATGAGGACGTCGTTATTGGTGACTGGATGATTTGATAAGACAAAGGCAATTAGAAATACAGCTCATGAGCGAAGGATAGAGCATCCACAGTTGGCCTAACCTTTGCAAGTGCTATGTTGTAAGCCATGTATATTTTTACACCTCAATTCTCTTGCCAGCATATGGGAACAACAAATATACCTACATATAGTGTTGCTGTGATCACTAAACAAAGAGAGTTGTACATAAGAAATGTTCAACAGCCCTTAGAAGTCCATTCTGGATTCTCTGATTTTCTTCAAGTCTGTCATGAATCACCATCTTACCTTAATGTTACACGAAAACACACACACACACACACACACACACACACACACACACACACACACACACACACTATCCATAGGTCTTCATCATATCTTCTGGTCATTTGAACCAAAATGGCCCCCATAGTCTCATATGTTTGAATGGCTGGTCTCTGCCACACCCACTCCAATGGTGTCTGAAAGACAAGCCTAAAAACTTGGTCGCAGGCCTGAGGCAAAAGTTTCATAGAAAGTGGCTTCCTGGAGGTTCCTGGCATCCCATATCAAGGATGTGTTCCAGATTTGTTCTAGCAATAACCGGTGGATGTTTCTGTATCCTATCTTTTTTGGTATTAATTTATTTTGTAGGAACAAATATGCCTCAAGGGTCCAATCTGATTGAAGGTCCAGTAAAATTGGATGTTCCTCCTCTGGCCACCACTGATGTTCCAACTTCCTTGCCAGAAACAGAACTAACAAAATCAGGGGCTGATGGTGGGCTCCTTCAGTAAATAGGGAATCTCCCCAAATGCTTAAGATAACCACTGCTCCCCTTCCTTATACTGGAATTTATGATGCAGAAGATAATAGAAAGAACATGTGCTTAACTATACCCTGAATTTCATGGAAAAGCTTGCTAGAGAGAGACCCCCTTAATGTCTGTTATCCAAGGCACAGCAAAATAGTATAATCACAAAGTTCAAAAAGACAGGCCAATGGTGGGTTAAGCGCTGGACCAAGAACTGGGACTATGACTGGGGCATATGCCCATAAGACAGGAAAAGTAATTCTAAGAATAGGCTGATCTCAGACAGAGCTGATGTTATCATGTTGTAACCACTGTCTGGCTACTGCCAGTTCTTATGTATTTGATTTTCTATTTTGAACTTCTAGTCTCATGATGTGCCTTATGTGCCGATTTTGCTGACATCAATGTACCTTGACATATATACAAAGTTAACTTTTCTGTTTTAAACTTTTAGTCTTATGATATGCCTTATGTGTCAATTTTTTGACTTTAATGTGCCTTGACATATGTACAAAATTAACTTCTTTAGTTCCTCATGTAATAATTATAAAAGTCTGATGCATGCCTTGAGAAATTACACTCAGATTCAGCACTCCCTGGTGTTCGTGTCTGTTTGTCACTCACCAACTCTTTGCCCACCTGAGTACTGGATCCCTGATTCTCCCCGGGGTTGAGGGGCCCCGACTGGGTCTGCCCGTGGCAGGTCTCCAGTTAGTGGAACTATTTGGGAAGGATTAGGAGATGTGTCCTTGTAAGGAGGTTTCAAAAGCCCCGTCTCTCTCTCTCTCTCTCTCTCTCTCTCTCTCTCTCTCTCTCTCTCTCTCTCTCTCTCTCTCTCTCTCTCTCTCTCTGCCTGCAGCTTGTGAATCAGATGTGAGTTCTTAGCCTGTATATAAAAAGAAAAGACAGATTCAAAATACAAATAGTTCAATTGTAAATAAATATGTACTATACTGAAGTCAATTCATATCTCCCAAACAATTAAAAACATGAAACTGCCATCATAAAGTTATCAAAATTACCACTACCCCTGAGTTTCTCTGATACTTCATAAATTTAAAGGTTACTTTGGCATTTTGTTTCAGACTAGTCTGCCTTCTTTAGAAACCTTTGGTCACCTAAACCTCAGGTGAATTAACAAGCTGACTTCAAGAGAGAGGTTATGTTGGATCTGTTATTTATGGAACAACATTAGTTACCTCTGTGCTAGTGTTACCAGAGCTGTTAAGATCAGAGCCTGACACCCCAGACAAAACAGACTAGTCTACTCTTTCTCAATATGCCAAATCAGAAGGAAAGTAAAAGTGGAAAGCAGAGAAATTCTATTTACACATTAGGACCACATTGGGAAGAGGAATAAACACAAAGACCCAATGACCCCCACCCCAAGTTTATCTTCAAGACCCTGACATAAGGTTTAGTTTCAAATATAAGGCAAGAGAAGAGGCAAAGAAACTAAGCAGTCAGGGTCAAGGTGTGTTCATGCCCATCATTGAAAAGGGCAGGACAAACTTTCAGAACTACGTGAAATCTTTTTCCAACAGACAAGTTTCTCCTCTGTCCAGCATCAGGTTTCAAGCTTTCCATTCTCAACATGGAATCTTTGGGGGAAATTTCAATTTCTTTGGTGATCATTTTTTAAAAAAACAATCTGACAGCCAAAGGGAGCCTTGCAAGTGTCTTAGAATACATTTGCTTCTGCAAGCATGGTTATGTGAGGTTATAAACAGCCAATATAAATTTTGATTTCAACCACATTGACTTCTCCACTCAGCTTCTCTAGCCATCAGGCCAAGAGGCTGACACCCTCACTGCATCAACTGTGGTCCTCTGTCCAGAAAGGACTGTGGGAAGCAGAAACAGGACAATGCCTAGAACTTGCTGATTACTCATGGGAGTTCCAGGTACAGTGAGAGCCCATGTCCTAAATAATAAGGTGGAATGACTGAAGGAAGACACGTAATAATGACCTCTGATATCCACAAACACGTGTACACAATGAGCACTTGCACACACGTGCACACAGGAACATGTACATATATATATATATGTATATCCACACAAAGATGTGATAGATATATTTAGTTTTCAAGTCACATTCTGAATTTTAATATACCCTAATTTTCCATGAAAGAATTTGTATATGGTTAGCAAAAATAAAAATCACTTTGAGAAAACCTAACTATATAATTGAAAGCAATGACACATAAGTAGATAGTGTGTATGTAAATCACGGGCTTGGAATGTAACTTAGGTGACAGCTTGCCTAAGGCAGTGACTTGACTTCTCAATACCATAGTCCTCCCTGGCTACACAGCTAACTCGAAGTGAGCATGGATTATACATATATATATATATATATATATATATATATCAGATTAAACTGGAAGTTGAAAACTGAAGAATTCCTGAATTTTTATCACAGCAAAAGGGACTTGTCCTACTTGGGTTTCTATTGCTGCAATAAAAAGCAACTTGGGGAAGAAAGGGTTTATTTCATTTCACAGTTTATAGTCCATCATGAGAGAAAAATCAGGACATGAACTCAAGCAGGAACCTGAAGTCAGGAACTAGAGCAAAAACCATGGAGGAATGCTGCTTACTGGTTTGCTCAGCCTAGTTTGTTTGTTTTTTGTTTTGTTTTTGAGACAGGGATTCTCTGTATAACAGTCCCGGCTGTCCCTGAACTCACTACATAGACCAGGCT